CTGCGAATGCAGCTATGAACGGGATACGATACGCGCCGGCCGCTTGCATTTGGTAGACACTCCCTTTACATACCCTGCTACCCTCCTATTCCTTTATGCTCCCCACTAGCTGTCTATGCCGATCGATACCAGACTGCGTGATCAGGCAACGCGTCCCTCCTCGTCCCCTTACTCTTTCAAAACGCAAGCGGTCTGCGCCAAACGATTGGGGCCGCATTCTCGTCCATAGCACTGCAGCGCTCTTGCCACTGTAGTGGGTCGACGCGCGTCTTCGCGAAGTCTGAACGCTGGTTAAACTGCCTGCAGTGTGAAGTGTTGGTAATTTTACCGCGTGCATAACAGCATCCTGCACTTACGTGATGGTTCAGCGACCTCGGTTTTTGCTTAGGAAAATTTTGTAGGGGCTGCTCCAGAAAAGCATAGTTGGTTCAAACTTCAGCAAGTTGTAGGTTTAGCGAAGGCTGTTGCTGTGGGCGAGAACGGTTACCCTTTATGCCTTTCCTTGTAAGCGAGCCTTTTCGCGTTGGAAGAGGTGCAACAAAAATGAAGAGATACGATTGTCTCTGTCTATACACTGAACTTTGACACCGTTTTTTACCGAACAGGTTCATTAATGGCCTCAGGCCTTACAAAATTATGATTTCATGACTTATTGGGAGCGTGATTTGCCAGGTTCTGTGGGCAGTACATGGAATGGTATTGGACTATCTTTGAGTAACCCAGGTATATACTGAAGCTCTTAAATTCAGTAGTCTGTAAGACTTTAATGATTTACACACTTTCATCGGCCTACTCGTTGCTCTCAGTCATGATTAGTACTTACGCATAAACTTGAGCGAAACCTCCGTCAGCCAGAAGACCTTCAACTTTGAACTTGTTCAACAGCATTTGTCCTTCCTTCAACAGGAATGTCTTCCTAGGCGTCGGCGCCGGCGCTGCAAACAATGACGATACTCATCACAAGACTGCTGAGTTACGTGCAAAGCCTTGGGCCGTCGTCTCAGACGTATTCGTTCCCAGACGACGACCCCGTCCCTCATCGTCGTCTCACACCCCGAAACAACGATCCTCGTAAAGCCCGCCCCCCCTCCTGATACAGGGTCAAAGCTAATACTCGTCCAGGTGGGACCATTCCTCCTCTCTTCGTTCACAAAAGAGATACACATAAAGAGCTCATTATACTTATTCGCTTTCGTTCGCCAAACCTCACCTCGCGTTTGGGAGAATGTGCTGTCCGTAAGAGCGCCCCTTCCTTCTTTTCTCAACTCGATGGCTTTTCATTCCATAGCCGTAACAAATACCACCCAACGAATGATAAGGGTGATATAAAAGTAACCTGACAACTTGTCATCATGGATCATTAAACCAAATCACCGACAAACTGTACCCTCGCTCCCGAGGATGCTCCTGCCATGTGTGGATCTGCAGCTACAGAAAACGTAACGCTATCCCCGTCAAGAGTGCGCAATTGAATGCAGGGATGTGATACCCGAGTTACCAGTCTCACCCGTCGCACGTACTATCAAGAAGCCTGACGGCGTGTTTCGTTGCGGGAACTGTACCGCTCGCATCGCTACCAAGGTCCTGCACGAAACACGCCGTCAGATTTCAAGAAACAGCAGGAAGTGAGAGGACGCAGAAAAGTGTTGCGTTTGGCAGTAGTTAGGCGTGTGGGTGGCTGTAACTACGGCAGCTGCGAACGCTTCTTGTCGTGATTTGCGCAGAACTAAGGGGTTAATGACCCGCCGCTAGGAAACCGCGCTCTGGCTGCAAATGTTATGTTAGGATATGCATGAAACGTGGAAAACCGCACCTACAGTAACCCATCTCGTAATTCAAAGGGTCTACGGATAACCTGAACTTAATCCCTTTGAACGCGTCGATCTTCCCTTTTTCTCTGCATTCTCTCGTCCGCATGGCACTCTATGGCCGTTGCGACTTCGCTCACTCTACCTTTTCACCGACTGTAAGTAGCTCACCCACAGGAGTCCCCTCCCCTTGAAAAATCCCGTTTTCTGACTCGCCATGCGTTTTGTGTACGTTTCGAAGCTTTGGCAGCTGCTGCTCTATTTGTCTGCCTCACAGGGTTTCGTAACAAAAGTTCAAGATGTCAAGTAACCAATTCAAATGTTGTCTTCATTCCCCCACTCGCATAAAGCCGTCTTGCAATGAGTGGGCTATACCGTCATTCCAGAAAGTTTACGGCTCATTTTTTGGGTCTCTCTCTGTCCTTCCGATAAGTTGCATTCTACTTCTCGCTCATAATTCCTCGCCTTCTGTAGTCTGCAGAAATACTAGCTTCTAAACGTAGCATTCTGTTTAAATATTGTCTGTGTGTTGGCCAATGCAATTTTTGCTCTACGTTTAACTTGAAACCGTGCTTGATTTTGGGAAGTCCTTCGAGCCGTCGAGCCTAACAAACTAGAGATATGGGCGCGTTCGTAGTCCCATGGCCCATTTGCGGTTAGCTTCCGCGGCCATGAAACAGACCGGGTGCCCGTTAGCTTTACCGCCTAAATTGACAAATCTGCAAGAGTATCCGCGCAGACTTGCGTGTTCCGACGGAACCCCATTTTTACCTTTTAGGTTCATACAAAGAGTGAACTGCACATTATGTAACGCTCGCTTGATTTGCATCGCTACTCGTTGAGCTGTCGTACCTTTGACTTACAGGGGAAAGATGATAGGTCGATGTGGCCACTTGAAATGAATGTATACTGGCTGAAAGGTCTTTGGACGAGGATTACGAAACCGTCCTCCTTATTTGCTGCGGACCTCCCAGGAAAAAGTTACGTTCGCATAAGCGCTTGTGTTTGATAATGTCGTAATGTTTCTGAACTAATGGTGCCTCTCAAGGAGAATTTCCGGGTGAAGATATTGTCATACGAGCCGAAAACTTCCAGCAGGTGCGAAAGCATCACTTGGGGTAGAACATCCTTCAACACTATGTGAGCGATGAATGAAGGTTTTGCCCATCACGATCTCCAGCATGATTGTCACATCAACGCCACGTCATGTGAAAGCACTTTCAAACTATACTCATCTTTGAGCACAACTTAGTGCTATTTTGGCTCCGTAACTTTGTTCTGGGAGGTCCGCAGCAGATATGGAAGACGGTTTCGTAATCCCCGTCCAAAGACCCTTCACTAGTATATATTTCATTTCAAATGGCCACTTCGACCTACCATCCTTTTCTTGTTAGTCTTTCTGAGAAATGGAAAGCTTTGTATACATGGTGGAGTGGGCGCGATTGAGGTCTGCTGGTTTTGGGGGTGGATGAGGAAAACGAACCAACTTTTGGGACCTACCACCACATCAGTTCCAGATAAAATTCCAACACTCACAGGCTTTGATGTCTTTCACTTTCGCTTTCTCGTCCTTTGGCTCGTGTTGTTCCTTCGATACTTTCTCTTGAGTGCCTCCGTTGACTTCACGACTGTCCATGGTCGGCTTCTTCTCTATCGTGAGTACTTTTGATTTGCGCTTAGCTTTCAGATCAGGCTCTTCCTTACTCTCCGATTTTTTCTTCACCTTCTCCTTGCTTCCTGACTTCTCCATCTTTTGTACACGTTCTTTGCTTCCTGACCGCTTCTCCACCCTATCTTTGCTCCCTGGCTTTTTTCGTGAACGGGAATGTGAACGCTCTTTACTTCCTGGTTTTCTTTCAGCTCGTTCTTTACTCCCTGTCTTCTTCTCCTTGCCTGGTGACCTTAAGGGTTTTCCATTCTTGTCCATTTTTTGCAAATTCTTCACTTCTGACCTCCGAGAAGGTTGAAGTTGTAGTTGAACTATTTTCTTTTCCTTGTCGTTTGATGCCACCACTTTCTCTTTGCTGAGCACCTTTTGTTTGCTATCTGCTTGATCTTTGCTTGCTGGTTTCGCATCAATTTTATCTTTGCTTCCCATCTTCGAGTGCAACTCCCTTGTTTCTGGCTTTTGAGTAGGTAATGTAGGAACCACGCTCTTCTCTTTACTCGCACTTGCCACTACTTTCTCCTTGCTAAGCACCTTTTGCTTCAGCTTCCTATCACTTGCTGTTTTTCCACTTGCAACCCTTTGCCCTGGAGATTTAGGTACTTTGCTCTTTGGATTTTTCACTTTGACATCTTTCCTCATATCGCCACCTTTAAAGATCTGAAATGTACCAATCAGGCCCTGAATCGGATTTCTTTGCTCGCTCGAGAGGCATCCTATAGCCTTGGCCACCGTCTGCCGGCGTCTACCAGCGACCATCAACGTCCCAAGGGACTAGCAAAGTGTGGATATCGTTATGGCGTCTGCCAGCGACAATAATCGTCCATTAGCGATAAGGAGTACGGTATTGTGTAGTAGTACGGTACGGTTGCACACGCCACAATTTCACGACGCCTAATCCAGCTGTCTCCTCCCTCCTACTTCCCCATACTCTCTACTCTGGAGTACGCTGGTAGACGCTAGATCGATATCCACACTTCCCCAGTCTCTCGAGACTCTGATGGTTGCTGGCGAACGCTGGTGGACGCTGCCGCAAAGTATGAACGCAGCCCAAGCTGCGTCATATCTGTTTGCCTGCACCCACTTACTGAGAGCAGCACGCAGACCTGCCGCCATGGTTGCTCCGAGGCACATACAGTCATGGTCCCTACAAAAGATAGGCTGTCTGACGGGGCATGGCTTAGGGCGGACGAATGAGATCTAACTATTATTTTCAACCAGTTAGCGTGCTCAGGATGGCATCAATAGTGGAGAATGGGCGCCCTGCCTGTCCCCCGGCATGTGCCGCGCCACACACC